CGACCAACCACAGGTCTCTCAGCTATCAACACCAAACAGCAATACACACGATCAGCACCACAGACAGCAGCGGCGATCAGCAGGAAAAAGGGTCGGGGAAGGGGGCAGCAAAAAAGAGTCGCTGTAGTGGGTATGGGATCACTTCGCGAGCAAAAAAGAGTCGCTGTAGTGGGTATGGGATCACTTCGCGAGGTTCACGATGTGCTCGCGGCGAGCCTTGACAGCCTCCTCGTTGAGCCGCACTGGGGGTGACTGCGAAAAGTCGAGAATCAGGTCCCACGGACCCAATACCACCACCGGGGCCGGGTGTGGGTACGAGGTTGGTTGGGCTTTCTGACAGTTGGCACAGCACGCCGGCCGCTGGAACCAGAACTCCGCTTCTCCGCCCTGCTGAACCGCCCCGCCTCGTACCGACCGATGAGTGCAGTTGCTGCAAAGCCAGATGCCGGTGAAGAACAGCTGGTCCACCGAGTGCACGAAAGGCTTCAGCTGCTCCGGGGGCGCTAGATCCACGGGATGGACACCAGGGGGCAGAGAGGGAGCGGGGTGGGGGGGTGTGGGATCGTCCTGCTGCTTCTGCTCGTTCTCCTGCTCTCGCTCCTCAGAGCCTTCCTGGTCCTCAGAGTCTCTCTGTTGCTCCTCGTGGTCGTGGTGTCGCTCCTCAGAGTCTCCCTGTTGCTCCTCGTCCTCGTGGTCGTCGACCTCTTCAGTGTTGGGGTTGTGTGTGTGTTGATGCTCGGGCGTGGCGGATGGGGGCTGTGGTGTGGCCGTCTGCGGCGGTGGTGTGGTCGTCTGCGGGTTTGTGGGGTGCTGCTGGGTCTCGGACGATTGCGACGGCTCAGCAGCCTCAGGCGTCTGCACACGCGCCGCTGCCTCTGCTCGGACGACAGCAGCATGCTTGAGCTCAACACCACCGTGGCGCCGCGCAGCACCACCGCTCCTGTCCAACGTGACGTGTCGGTGGGGGGGCGGCGGATGACGAGAACGAGACCGAGAGCGAGAACGAGAGCGAGAACGAGACCGAGGACGAGGTGCACGCTTGCGGGGAGGGGGAGGGGACCGCCGAGTCGCCGTGGGACGCTCGATCTCCTTCTGCACCACGGACTGACGGCGCTTCGCGTCGTTCACACTCTTGTCGTACTTCCCCCTTGAGATGGCCGACTTGTCGCGCCGCTTATCGAGCTCATCTATCTCGTCAGTGATCTGCTCTTTCGCGTAGAAGAAGCCCACCAGCTCGTGCTGGTCTCGTCGGTCGTATTTCACTCTCCTGAGCGAGCGATCGACTTTCTCACGGATGGTACTGGGCGCGTTGTGGTCGGTGAACAGGTGGCCACGGACGAGATCAGAGGGTCGAGGAGGACGAGATGGACGAGATGAGGGCTTGGACATGACGACAGCAGAGAGGGCAGCAAAGAGGGGGCAGACG